CGATAGATAACTGTTTTTAATTCATGGGCAGCGTGAAGTATTTTCCCATGCGTGCAGACACGCCTCGTCAATAGACAACAGATGTTTTCTTTGGGGTTGGAGCCCGGGCTGGGTATAACGTGGTCGTCGATTTTCAACATCTACTCGTTTCTGAATATCACTCTGTTCTAACCAGAACTCCAGTTGATGTGACTTTTTAACCAAGCAACTCGTTCATTGACAAGACAGTCTGTTGTTCGCGGTACCGTTTTGATCTTCACTCACGCCAAAGTGTACTGATNACTTTGATCTACCGTGATCTGATTTGAAGCAACATTTGAAGTTGTTGAATTTTGATCAGAGCCTTTTATTCCAATTCCGCGTTGATTCAAAGATCAAAGATTTATTATGGGAATAACTTATAAGCTCATGTTTTTCTCGTCCCATAGGTTCGTATTATTGTTTTTATTCCTTGTGTAAAATGTCACAGGATATGGGATTCATTCACTGCTGCACGCAGATTCACTTATGTTGGAATGTAAGGTGCTCTAATGTTTTATCGATTCTGTTTGAAAGATTCAATGCTCAGTGCAAAGACGACTTGGGGTGGGAGAGAGTTCCAGATGGAACACACTCTGACTGCGAATGACTGACGTCGGCATTCCAATCGGCATTTTGAGACCGCTAGTTTGAATGGATGTCCTCTAAGATGATGGGTGACAATTTTAGCAGCTTGGGTTTTGCATTATTTGGTATACCATAATCATATCTCCTCTGATGCGCAGGTAGTGATTGGAATATCACCCCAACGACTCCAATCTCTCTGTCAATGAATAGCGATTCAACCCCTTAACCACTTTTATGGCCATCCTTTGTGGACGCTTCAGAATTTTGTAGGCATAGATTCCATGCCTGGATTGTGTACTGTGTGAGTGGGCGGAATGTATGCTGATAGTAGACGGTTGCAAAGCGCTGATTCAAATCGGCCAAAGACCCTCTTAAGCAAACCGATATTCTTTACAGTTTCTAAGATACTACAAACTACCCGCGGTGGTAGATGAATGTTTCCAGTAATCTTGCAAACTTTGGTGCTCAGGTATTTGTAGGCTGGTATTATTCCTTGTTCCAGCTCCGATGGAATTGAGCTGCGTGCCATTCCAACGGTTGGACTAATAGCGGGTCAGTGAGCTCAATGAACTTGGTCGTCGTTCATCTACCATCTCTGACATTATTCTTGTTACTTCTTGCATTCATGAACATCACCGGAACATATCGAAAGCATGACTGACCCGTACCACGGCGAGCTAAGGAGATGCATTTTAATGACAGCACTCAGAGTGGAGTTATTCACATTTAGCAGCCCCGCCCAGGGACACATTTTATCGAGTAAATCAGTTTGGCAATCTCATAAACAAAATTTGTTCAGTTTTTCCACACTGTGATGGATCGCATAAGCGTAATACCGAATTTGATCAATATGAGTGGTGGTGGTTTGGTTACCAATATTTCCCTGAAGCACAAGGTGGGGTTCATAGAACGTTTCGTCCTTTATCAGACCCGGTTTTGTTAGAAATGTCATTTTGAGGTTTCGATTGTGCTACAACTGAGATTTTCCCCGTGAACTTTATCCAACAATATGGAAACTTAATTGCCGTTTGATCAATTGTTGTTTTATTTTTTTACTGCAGGCAGCTGCGCGTGCCCACTTCAATTGTTCCACACTGGAGGGTATGGAACTAGAAAACCAAGGCGGATCTGGCACGTCAAGTGCACACTTCGAGAAACGAATAGTACAAGTGAGTTTGTTGCGGAATGATGAACTTGGAGGTGCAAGTTGGCAGTGTAAGTTTTGTCATTCCAACTCCTCCCTAAAACCTTTTCTGTATAGTATTACTATCATACAATATTTTTCCTTTCCAGAGCTGAAATGTAACAATCTATCGCAGATTTAATCGTTAGTTGAATTTATCAGTAATATCTTAAAGTCTAATCCAAGTTTAAAAGGAACCATCCTGTTGATTAAAGATATCCTTCGTCAAATGACCCGGAATATAAGCTCCTTGTAACGCAGTTTCACGGACTTGACTACAGAAGTTAAAGATCACATTGTTCGTATTCTACCTTTACATGAGTTCACATGAATGCGATGTACAACAAGAATCGCTGTGTATTCTTGGTGGATTTTCTGTGGAGTTGTGTTACTTCATTCACGTCCTTCGAATTTGGGTGGCGGAGAACCGCGAAAGTGTCCACCGAAATGATCTACCGAGATGTGAACTCTCTGACGTCTCATTTTATTCCATTTCAACCTCGCACATTTTTGTGGATGTTTTGTTTACTGTATTTGGGTTACTTAGTTGGTTGGACAATAATTCAGGGAGAAGACGAACAAAGTGGAAAAGTGGGAGCAGTACCAGGGTGAATATACGGAATTCAGGCAGACTACATTTGCGATGCCATCGCGTAGATAGTTGAACATAACTGTTTACGATACTCAGTCATACCATTCAGCGTCGCTTATCATCGATAAGACTAATCCTGAAATCTCCAACCTGAAAGCCTCACGCAAGCTTGGTCATGGGTGTTATACCCTCATGTCATATCTTGACCTCTTTCGGCTTTATTCCACGGAAAACCAGCTTCGATAAACGTCTTTCGTCATAGAAGCCCATTCGCTAACATGAGTGAAGCACGCCCAATTCAGTTTAATTGATGAAGGTTAAGCACTTGGTCAAGTGCGCGACCGTTATTATCTACAACTCTGTTCCTAATATCGACGTATCTCGTTCGGTTGCGCTTTCAAACTCATGTGATGTGGCAAAGACGATGGTGTTTGAACATCAGTAGTCTTTCCCCCTAACGATCAAGTCTCTGCACCACAGAGCAATACCGGTCGAATTGCTGCAGCGTACATTATAACCTTGGTGGCGCCACTCGTGTCTCAGTTTTCCCAGGTAGCCGCGTGATAGCCGTCTGATAGAGTGTGAAGATTCATGTACCCGCATCTATGTACATCTATCCTGGTTGTAGATTGGTAAACCGCTCTTCCATGCGCAACCTCTCTAAGGACAACAATTGGTTGTCATAGAAAGCCAGGAGCTGCCCAATCAGTGGGCCTTGTGAGGCCATGCTTGTCTGGCTTAGTTGGATCTGAGGCTCTGAGGAACCATTCTTTGTAACTCGTTGGGTTATGGAGGAAAGCAAATCATCACTTCACATCAATTGGCAATCTTCTCATGATGGGATATCTGATTTTCTCGCTGTTTGCTCTAGAACGGAAAACGTTCATCACCTTGTGCTTGTTTGTTTCCGGGCTTATTGTCATTCAGATCCTCGTAGAAAACATCTTGAGTGAAAATCCACCATCCCTTAACAACCAAGCTGAGCACAGAAAAAAGTTGTCTCAAGGCATACCTATGTGTATTTAATTCCCTTTTTATTGTCATTATTTCAAATTATCAAGGATGAATTGATGGCTGGTTCAATTGGGAAAAGTGCGTTTGTTTCGACCCTAACGTTGGCTTACTTTCAAGATTCTGGGTAAGTCGTTTTAAGTGCAAAGAACCCCTTACTGGTTCTACTCAACATCCCCGTTGCTGTTTATGTTTCTAGTAACGAACTTCATTCGCACAGTGGTTAGTATTTGCTTATCGATTCGTTCATTTCGCTCCTCTTACAAAGCTGTCCATTCTGTTTGCAAACGTTGCACTGCCAGATAAAGTGGTGTATCAAGTGTTTTTGGTTTCACGTTAATCTGCTTACATCCACACACTTAGAAACACATTGTGTTTATCAGTACCCCAGAATTCGTTCAAAAAGTCTGACGCATTTTTATATGGTCAGTTTTCTTTGTATACCGGGAGAACTGTGGTCAAGCTAAGCCCGGAAATGAGGCTCAGAATATCATAACAACGGGTCTCGGTGAATAATTTGAGTTATAAGTCATGGGTGTGTCGTAAAAAAAATTGTCGGGAGTTTGAGGTTTAGCGGAACAAATTGGAATGAGAAGTGAGATAACTTGCAAGGGATCGCTGGTTCCCTTGCGCTTTGTATTATTTAGTTGAATTAATGTTAGTTTACAAATATATTTCGTTCCAAACACATTATCTGCTCTATTCCATTGTTGGTTTCATGATGAGAGCAGTATCACCGTTGCTCAGTCTGGGATATTCAGAAGAGGATCACTTAAGCCGGTAGATTTCGGAAGTTGCATTAGATTCCACGTTTCTTCGCCCTGGGCTCCAGTTGTGGAACACTTAACCCTGTCTTTTCCACTCATCGGAAAGAAGATGAGGCAAATATCGGTAAAATAGGTTTTCTTTAGAACTATTCTCTAACTGTAACACAGAAACACACTGGTGTTAATGCAGGCACCTCAAAATTCATGTTTACAATTACGATTTGAAGGACACTTGAATTGTTTCTATCGGAATGATGCGGTCCTACATTATCAGCCGAATCTTGATTCATGTACTGGCTTTTAACACCGACAAAAGGAACAACAGGACTGCCTGTGATTTTTGTTTTCACGGAATTGGTGCGCTAAATTACTCAGTCTTTCGATCGTTTTGCTTACGACCAAGAAACCTTTTCGTTCCAGTCACCAAGTGGCTTTAATCCCCCCTTCAAGGATGAATATTCAGCTGATGCATAATCATTCTTCCGATTTACAAAATGAAACCGTGCTGACAATGCTTACGTAAATGATTAAACAAGTTCTAAAGAGCTTCTCTTTATGTATTTCAGTACTAAAATCACTGATAGAAAGAAATCACGCCAGCGGCGGCATTGTAGGAGACATGCATCTTGTTGTACGTGCTGCAGTGTGCTTGCAAAACGTTTTGTCTTCTCCTACATCCTTTTTCACTGGTCTTATTAATCACCAGTTGTCTCTCCCGACCTCAGACTCAGACTTGGATCCATTGCTGGATTTTCCGTACTCCATGTAAAAAGTATGTTACGATCCTGGCACCCTTAATCTGTAGAACAATTTCTGTTTTCTCTGCAACACTTCATTACATCAGTTATTGTAGCTGTATATGGTGAACTTCGTCATTCAAACTTCTACCTTTAAATTCGCTTATTCGATTCTCATTTTGGTCGTGGTATTTGCACCGATCATGTGACTCAACATGATCGAAACAGCTGTTCAGTGCTTCCCAGCTTTTCATTTTGTGTTTGCTCTGTACACAATGAACTCCACCGTATACTCTAATCTAATCCCTCACTGATCTCTTGCAGCGCCTGTTGTGATATAAGCCAAAATGGGCTTTGTGTGATCCAGGTTTTGACAAATTTTGTCACATCCGACGGTTGCATACACAACCACCTCTGTTTCCTCTCTCTCTCTCTCTGTCTCTCGTTTAGCTGGTACGACGTGGACCTCACCCAGGCCGACAACTGGCAGTGGGGTAAAGGACTTGGATGTGATTTTGTGACCAAAAGCTGCTACGAGTATGGTTTGTCGAAACAGTCTCTGTAAGTTTTCGGCATCACAACACGCCCCCGGATTAGGCAGGACACAAGTCACTGAACTGGAACGGGCTGACTGTCGATACTGCTAAGGTTGATAACGAGACCGACCAGTCACGAGACACCCAACCTAAACGAGCTGCGAAATGCTTTGAGCTCTCATCACACCTCCCTCCGTTCAAAAGAATGAAATCGATTATACCAATGCTGACTCATAGGTTTGATTATTGGGGTTAATGATGAGCCTCTGTATTGGGCTCGAGTTCGAGTTGAGTGCCGCCGGTCAGTTTGATTAGGTGCTTTGTTCTCGGTGCTGAAATCTGTTGGACTTGTGTTCATAAATCGTTGATCTATCAGTAAATCAATGGGTATACAATCAGAGGAGTGTTTCGTTGGGTCTTGTCACCCGGTCCTAGATCTGAGGTGGTTGATATGCCTTATCCATACGAAATGTCCCACTCTGACTTTATATGTGACTGATCCATCTCGTTTTATAATCTCTCCGGGAATCCAGCTCAGAAATCTGTTACGAAAATTACGTACATATACATGATTTTCTGCCCTTAAATTCCTCAATCTGGTATTAGCACTTTTAGCGGCGTGTAATTCTGCAATATCTTGCGCGCTGGGAATTATGACGTCGACAACCAGCCGCACTCATCGACCGAGAAACTGTTCGATCGGGGACTTCTGTTCTGAGGTAGATGGGTTGGGAGTCGAGCGATAAGTGAGGAGAAATGCGNGTGTCCACGAATTGTTTCACTTGACCGTTCGATTGCGGGTGATACGTTGAAGTACCCACATGGCAGGTGTTAGTTGACGAACAGAACACACTGAATTGTGAAGATGTAAATTGTGCGCTGTTATCCAAAACTAAGAATTCCGGCATGCTGATCTGGGAAAATAATCTTCTGAGATGTTTTATGACGACAGATGTGGTTATAACACGGATCGGAAAAACTTCAAACTACTTGGAATATGAAACAAAAATTATTAGCTAGCACTTTTCTTCAACAAGGCCAGCAAATTCTACGTAAATGCGTGGCCAGGGCACCGTGGAAGGCTGCAAAGATTGAGTTTTGGTCTCATGCGGTAGTTTAGTTGCCAGTAAAGAATTCTGACATGTCTTAACTACTTGTTCCATTTTCTTATTCATGAATGGTCACAGCTTTATACTGTGAATAGTTGAACTACCACGTAAAGGCAAAAACTCATCGAGAACTAATCATCGTGTAAAAATGT